CTGTGTCCTTATCTTAATAATCACCGGAGGTTTGTGTGCTCATTTTTAAAGCGATTAACTTCATGAACTCATTTAATTCCTGTTCTGCTCATTTTTCAACGTCTGTTGCCTCCTAAAATCTTTATATTGCGGCTATTAATGTCATTATTAGATGGCATTCAATCAACCTGTAGTTCACTGTAGCTATTGGAGATGCTTAAAACAGCTGTCCCGAGGATGGACGGATACTGTCTTTAGGACGAACAATATCTCTGTCTAATATGTTTGACCAAAGAGAGAAGCTGCAGATAAAAGTTAAATGTTGCAGTCATGAAATGAAAGTGAAATCAAGAAATGCTTTATGAGTTGGCTCCACACAGAAGAAGTGGAGGTGTTGGAGTCGACACCAGCCTGCTACCTAAAACCTCTAACAAGACACACAGCAGCAGAGGAGACTTGTTTTTGGATGAACTCTACTGAAAAATTACAATGCAGGTCCTTCTGCGCAGAACTTGTTTGTCTTTGCCGTGCCAGCAAAAGAATTAAATATTTAAAAAAGAAAAATACCACTTACGGAGAAGTACTTCAGCTGACACCCTGCCACTGCCACAGATGTGACATGATACTTTTAAACTCGTGCTGCACTTTAGCATCCTGCGCTATCAACGCTAAACAAAACCCTCAACCGCTGCAGCATCAGTGCAGCTATGCAACAAAAAGAGCTGACGTGCAGCTCTGACCCTGGAAGATAATTACCGCCCAAAGACCATTATAAACATGAAATGACACTTTCTTTATCACAGTAAAGTCAGTTTTACATAATTAGTTTTTACCAATCACATGACCAAAGTGACCCCAAGTGTGTCTCCACCTCCCAGCGAACAGCACAGCGGCTTCTCCATAATGCGTTCTGAGGCCCCGGGAGTCCATCAAAAACAGGTCAATCGAAAAGCAAGCCAGACACAACGCAAAGAAGCACAAACGTACATATTTAACTCAATTCAATGAATTAAAGCCGACAACTGCCCTCTGTTAATAATTTGATAAAACACATTGCAGCTCGACGGCCTTCAAACTGTCTTCTCTCTCACAGGAGTTGAGGGTGAAGTGTTTCCTGGGATTCTATTTGTAAGCGACTTCACACCTCCTCCGCCAAATTGAAGCCACCTCAGCGTGTCTTCACCCCCCTCCTGTTTCTTAAATCATCCGGAGCCTGACAGTCCTGCAGAACTGTTCTTTCTCAGCCGCCGGCAGCGAGACGGCTGGCTCTGAATTACAGGCCCAGGGAAAAGAGGGAATTATATTCATCAGTGCAGTGGGGCCGTGACACTTTTGAGTCACGCCACAGCGGCAATTAAAAGCTTTTTTGTCTGTGAGCAAGCTGTGCAAAGCAAAAAGATCCGTGTTCCACAGTTTACGGATCGGTGACGGGAAAGAGGTGAAAAACCACATGAAATCGGCAAAGGGCTGTAAATATGAACTAACTATATATATATATATATATGAGCTAAGACTTATTGGGACAATATTTGAACAGAGAGATGAGGGATTTAATTACAGAATCATTTAGGATGAGTAATGAAGACATAAATAAGTGAAGGATAATGGAGTGAAATCCAAACACATACATGATTGTGTTTAATTCAGCAGGGGTGGCAAAATGCACAAGAAGTCACACACACGGACACACACACACACACACACACAGCTGCTGCTGGTATAGGAATACAGAAACAATTGCCACACACGTCTGCTGTGTCTGCAGCCCCGGCTGGCACACAGATACCAACATTTAACACTAATCCGCTTGCTTCCTCTGCTTCCTCTGGAAACAAACATGGCGGTCACACGAATGCCAAGGAACAGCAAGGCTCCATTGATCAGTCGACTGCGGAGGAAGTCTGGAAACAGACAGGGGAGCAGCTTGGGGGCGTCTGGGGAGATGAGAACATGTTGGCCAACATGTCAATCATCGGACCACATCTCTGGCTGCAGAGACAAAAGAGAAAAGCAAGACGAGGGGACAATGCTGGCCAGCTTCCAATATAATGTAGACCTTAATCCTGCTGACAAAACGTGTTTATTAAAATAAGTGGGTACAGAGCTACTCAATAGGTCAGAGAGGGTGGGAGCAACTTGAGACCCGACCAGTTTCATGTGAACGTTCTTGTTGCAGGAAAGGCTGACGGGATGATGGAGACATCCCCCGAAGAGACTGTACACGACTTGTGGATTATGGTTTGTGTAAAAGTGTTCCTCCAAGTTCCTCGTAATTGTCACGTTAAATGTCACAGTTAGTATGCATCTACCAGGGCCACAAGATCAATCTTTATCTATTTTTCATCAATATTGAGTTTATTTACCACAGTTTTTCATTGATTTTAGCGGCAGAATACCTCAGGAAAATAATATTTGTATTGGCCTTTCACATTTTCTTCACATAACAAGTGTGACAGCAGACACCCAGGGAAGCTTTTACACTGCAGGGCTTCACAGCAGAGCTTTTCTGCAGCACCAGTTTTCAGACTGAGAGCATGTCCTCTCTCCGTGCTCCGTGCAGGACAGCTGCAAGAAAATCCCTGTGTGCTAAATGTAAGTAGGTGACGCCAAACAGGACGATGGTGTTGCTGAAGACCACACAGCTTGAAGTTATCCAATTGTACCTCAGGATTAGACAAACTGTTGAGAAAGAAAACATAATTGTGGGAATAATTACACCTATGATTGTTGAGGCCATTTTTACATTTGGAATGGTAAACGGACTGTACTTGTATAGCACCTTTCTAGTCTTCCGACCACTCAAAGCACTGATGACAGGAGCTACCATACACAGTGTCACCTGCCCACCAGTAACTAACATTCACGCACTGTAGTCGCAGCTACAGTAGCAGTGTTGCCCAAGGACACATCGACATGCGGGTTAGCGAGGACTGGGATCGAATCGCCAACCCTCTGATTGGAGGACGACCGTGTTCCCCACTCACCCACAGTCGCCCACTAGGTCGAGGGGGAGGTTTCTGTAAGTTATCATTGGGAGGATTCCAGACCGGAGCGGCTTCTGGAACGGTAGGAGGCAGACAAGCGAGACATTATCCAGACAACAAAAGGGTTTTATTTGCAAAAGTCCCTGCGTCACGTTAAATCAAATATACAACAAAACCTACAATCCAAATGAGTTAAACTTAACGTACATTAATAAACTCAACGCAACATAAAGTACTCAATCCCGTGCACACAGCCAGCCTCCTGTCCCTGTCATTGTCCTCTACCTTTTATAGCTATAGGTTGTACCACTCCCGACCCCCGTGTACTGGGTCTAACCCGATGATGTCACTGCTGACATCATTGCGTGTTGTCACCCGCTATGAACCCATATTCTGTTTGGTTTTTTTAATCTTGTGTGTGAAATCTAGAGTATGCAATGCCAATTCCAGAGATATTTTACTTCATCTCCGTGAAAGGTCATATTGGTTCCCCGGCTTACAAGGCCAGCACTCAACAGCGTGCAAATTGCAACAAGTCTTTCCCACTTCTTTATCAACGCGATATTTCAAATCTCTCCGTATCTCTTTCCCCATATAAAGGCTCTCGATCGCTTCATTTTCTTGTTTCCTTCGTCCCGCTCATCCCTCTCTCTCACAGCCAGCACAGGCCTGAGGAATGAGCATTAAGTCTGGGGTGTTTATTCAGCGGAGGTAGACTGCGTGACGCCTGGCTCCTCCACAGCAGGCATGTTTGACATTTGGCCAAAGCACAAGAGAAGAGATGAAGGAGACCGAGGCTGAGATACCGCAGAGGACTTTTGCAGACACACACATACAACCTCTTGACCATTTACATCATCACAATCTGGGTACCGCCTCACCGCCATCGACCCAGACGCCACTCTGCTGTTATCACAAGCGGCTTCGACTGGAGAGACACTTCAGCCGCTTCACAGTGCGTGAAAAGCCCGGAGGGGCCTCTTCCAAAATGAACAGACAATTAGTTCACTTTGAGCAGAGGAATGAGTTTCTTGCCACTACTGTTGCTTCAAAGCCTCGTGAATATGTCAAAGCAGCTGCGTAAGCCCGTCGTAATGAGCATGCATAAGGTTTTTGGTAGTAATTGATGGGGCGAAGGCACAGCAGCAGCGCACTGATGAGTTCAGAAAATCAGCGCAAAAGAACACAGCAGGACGTCTTTACCGAACAAACAAATAAACGTGCTGCCGAGCAAAAGCAAGTATTTAGGCCAAAATGAAGAATAGAATATAACGTGTAATAAAAAAACACCCGTGAAGCAGAAGTTTGTGATTTCTTACTTAAGGTCTTTAGAGTATAATTCTATAGACAGACAAAGCAGCTATTCGGTTTCTCCTTTGACGGACACTTTACTGTCGCTGCATAGATATCGTCAACTTCAAATCAGGGATTGACATGTTTACTACAGAAATACATAACACGCAACTGTTGGGAAAACTTTACCAATGTTTCACCCTAGTCAATATTACTTGGACGACAGAGAGACACGTCGTGTTCTGAGTGGAAGTCAAGTGGTTTCTACATTGATGCTTGGGGGAGGCCTTTAGAAAATGGACAATTAGTGATCGATGTGAATACAACAACGGACTCCCATCTATGGAGGTCAGCAGAGTTGGTTTGCAGTTGGAAAATATCAGCAAACACGCCAGACGCTACCTGCTTCAGCTGGGGCTAAACCTGAAGCTGAATCCTCAAAAGACCAGACAACCCACAAGGGAGACATCCATCCACCAACCTACACAGATATTTCCGGCTTTGACATTCAAGAAAACCCATAACCCGCAGGACTAGCCAATCCTCCAGGGCCTGGTGGGTAAGTACTGGAGTTCCTGTGGGGTGACGCCGCCTGTTGCGTGTTCTTGTACCAAAACAAACATGAGCAGTAACCAATTCCAATCAGCCGTCACACCCAAATCACATCAATAACCAGCTCTGTCTTCTGGCTCTGTGCCGACAACGACGTCCCACCTGTGGGCTGAGAAGCACTCCTCCGCTTACCTTTCTCCACAGTGGTGACTCCCATGGACGGCTGACCCAGGCTGGCCTTTGTCTCCCATTTGCCCTCGTCGGGGTGGTACATCTCCACTGAGGCCAGCGGGGTCTGCTGCTGGTTCATGCCCCCGAGCACCATCACCTGGCCCCCTAACGCCACGGCCGAGGCCCCCGCCCGTGCGGTGGGCAGCGGCGGCAGCTGGCTCCACGTCTGGCTCTCTACATCCAGGACCTCGACGCTGTCCAGGGGCGTGCCGGTCTCGTTGCAGCCCCCCAGCACATAGAGCAGGCCCTCGTGGTACACCGGAGTGCTGTAGACGCGGCGCTGCGACATGGGAGGGAACTGCTCCCAGTACAGGGACTTGACAGGACTCACCGCCATCTCCTGCACAGGCATGTCTCCAGGACAGAGAGGAGGGTACACACCATCACACAGTGGCGCGTCGGGAAGGAGGAAGAGGGTAGAGGAAGGGGAGGGGGGGCGTGTTCCAGGGCCACGGAGCAGAAGAAACAAGTGGAGGCACACGCGTGTTTCTGTCTGACCGCCTGAAACCCTCGAGAAAGGGGGGGAGGAGGAAGATAAGGGATGCTCGTACGTCAAGGACAGAACAAGGTGGAATAAAGAGAGGGAACGAGGAGAATGTCGAACTCGCCCCTCAGCCAGATGTCACGACTCCCTCGCTATTGAAATGTTTTATTCATCCGGCTGTTGGTGTTTTTTTTCAAGTAGCGGAGCCTTCAGCCCTTCACTCCCCCTCTATTCCTCTCTCCAGCTCTCCTCTCCCCTTCGCTGCATCCTGCTGGGAGGTTGTTTTGGTTAAAGTTCTGACTTGAGTATATTCCGGTGGGTGTGGGGGAGTCCAATCCAATCCAATCCCTTTTATTTATAAAGCACAGTTTAAATGAACACAAAGGTTCCTAGGAGGAGTCCTAGTGTCCTAGAGCTTAATACTTAATCCCACAAAAACCTTCAAATCGAGAGTGGAGTTGAAGAAGAGAAAGAGGGGGATGCCACTGGATCACGTTAAGGAACACTGACCTTCACTATTGCCTTCTTAATCCAAGGGAAAGCCTTTATGGCAGATCCTTTTAAACAAAAAGAATTTATCCAGGTCCATCACCCCCCCTCAGCTGCACCCCGGTGAAAAATGTACTTAAATAAATGAACTAGAGCCTTCAAATGAAAACTCTATGGGAGTTTAATAGCGGCAAGACTTGCAATTTAAGAAAGATTTTCTTCGCTTAATTAAACGGGGATTCCAAATCCCTGAGCGCCGTTCTATGACTTCCTGTCAGGCACAGCGCTTCGTGAACTGTGTGCTTCGCAGCGTCCTGGTCGCTTCGGAGAGGATGAGGGTCCTTTGGCGGGACCCAACCTAAAAGAAAAGACAACGCCATTAGATCAGGAAATGGAGTATAAATTAAGAGCAAGGGGGTAAAGGCAAACTTTAGAAGTGACTGTACACGGCTTGTAGATTATGGTTTGTGTAAAAGTGTTCCTCCAATTTCCACAATTTAAATAAAAGGAGAAACATGGTATGAGCTTTGTGCTGGACCCCTATACGTCTTATTCTTTCCAGTGGCGATATATTGACTAATTGGGTAGCAGAATGAAAACTGCCCTGTGATCAAACAAGGCAAGGCTCTGCTTGAGGGGGGGCATTGTTTTGGCTAATAAACAATACAATATAACCCTGGTAGTCCAGTTTGAGTGACAGATCCATGAAATGAAAAGTCAGATCACATAAGACAAAATTTCAGCGAGTACTTTACTTACAAATTACAGCATATTAAATACAAACTACTGTACTTCTACCAATCACTAACTATAACTACTAGAGGAAGGCCTCTATGTTAATTTAACAGTTCAATGAGTTGCACAACACGGTCGGCCAACCTGTCCGAGGTCACAGCATTACGGGGGATTGAGACTGCGGAACAATAGTTATGTGAATGATCAGGTATCAACATAATAGCACATTACTGTTGACAGCAATGAGAAGTCTGTTTGTTCATAATGTGTGGGTGAGTCGGAGACTCAGCAGTAGGCCAGCCCACTGTGACCTGAGGACTGACATTTAAAGTACACCGGGAAGAAGCCTTTCCAGTGCTGACTGGTAGAGCGTGGCGATGCACGGACCACTCGACCGCTCAGGCCGGTCACATTTACACGCACGGACACACAACAGCACAAACACAACACATGCTGGTACGTTGTTTGTTGTTTGTGTACAGGCATAACTAATAATAAATAAAACTACCCAGGAGACAACTTCACAGAAGTCATTTGAGAGTGTCTTGCATTTAGTTTCTTTCCTGTTAGATATCAAAAGAAAAAAGTATTCATTTTTCTAAAAAAAAATATTTTCTTTGTTTCTTTGTTACATATTTGATCGTTACACATGCAGTCTCACTATCAATGTGTGAGTAACTATCCAGTAAAACTATTGATAAATATGTGAGCCTTTCACAATAAGATATCCCGCTCACCTCCAAATAGCACAATAAAGGCTCCTTTATCGTCGCCCCAGCATTACCCAACCGCCGCCCGAGTGAGTCTTACTACCTTCTCTCATCAAAGTAACTTTCCTGCAGACATGTAAATGACATGTAAATATCTAACTACTGAAAGACTACCAGAAACAGCATCAAATTGCATTTGTCCTGGTCAGGGCAATGCGAGCTTTCAGTGTCCAGGTTAGGAACGTGTTTATTGTGAACATTAAGAGTTAAGCTTTGAACTAGTGGGTACGCCACGACTTTTGTACTTCCTTGTGATTCCATCACTGACAAACTAGAGTCTGAGAAACTATACGTTTCTCTTTTCGTCCCTGTCAAACATCGGTTCATTCTGGTAGCAACATCAATCATCACCATTGGGTTAGCAATTGTTTTTCTTATTTTCCATGAAAAAGTTTCTGAAACTCTGTGATTTTGAGAGGCAAGGCTGAGCCTACTGCTTTGTTACAATGACAACTGTGCCACAGACATACTTATAAGGTTTGGGAAATATGCAAGGCAGTTAGGTAACATTTAATCCAGGTTAAGTCTGGCTGCTAAGTTTAACATCTAAAGCTTGCCGTGTTATAAATGCTATACCTGCTCACACCTCCGAGGAGAGAGTTGTCAGTCCTTCCTGTGGATCCCTATTTCTTTCAGTGAGTCTACCAGAGAGATTAGCAGACCTGGCAAAGTCTAAATTATGCAAATTCCTTGAGTTGATTCAGTTTTTTCCTGGGATTTATCTGCTCTCCCCTCTCAACCCCAATCTTTAGGTATCTTTGCCGTTGTGTGTGTTTGAGGATGCCACAAATAGCTGAGTCAACAACCTGAGGATTGACATTTAGTATGAAAAGAAGGCACTGCTCTGGTATTCAGCAGCACCGTGAAGATATAAGTATTCGACCAGAATGTGTCCTTTAACTCTCGGATAAAACAAACTTCAAAGAATACCTTTTTTCACTTACATAACATAACGAAAATCCTGCACTTCTCGTCTTAAAGTATGAAGAAAGATGAGTTCATTAACGTGTTACTGCTCAGGCTGCTCTAATAAGTCTCTTAAGCCTCTCCAGTTGGTCCGGAGTGCTGCATCCTCTGAAGAAGACAGCCCAAGGTTTAGGATGTGTGAATAGCACCACACATGGATTTGAGTCGGGCCCCTTTCAGAGAGCAGTGCAGGGAAGCCATTATATTGGCCCTGCAAATTGGAGTCAATGGAACTTTCAATTCACAGCAACTAGTCGCTCATGGACAGTGTCTGTATGACAACAGAACACTGATCGTGGGCTGTGAGGTCCTGTGCGGTGTCGATCTGGGCCGAGGGCATCCCGGATCCCCGGAATTCATTGTCCTCAAGTGTGTGTGTTGCCTCTGCATCCACCTCTTTTGCTGATAAGCTTCACAACATATATAACGTGCCAACACTTGTCCTCCTGCGGACTTGCTCTCTGTGAAGCGACATCTGAGGTCCCATGAGAAGGTCCTGGCTCGTGCTTCCCGAGGATCTGACGAAATATGCCTCAGCAGCGCAACCTCGGTGTAGGTGGCCCTTCTCACGCTCTCCAACTCTCTGGTGTATGTGTGTGAGGTTGGACATGCCAGTGATGAAAGAGTTTACGCTTCTCTGGGATTAGTAAAAGCCAGACAAAGGGAACAGAAGAGGGCTTCTTTGTTTTGACGGTATGATTGAGACATTTTCTGTTTGTATCATCTTTGCAAAAAAAGGCTCTCTGCTGTACAGCCTTGTCTGCCTTCTGCTGGGGGTGAAAACAGAACAAGATGTCTTATGTCTTGGCCTTCCTTCTGTGTTATCATGCCCTTGGCTATATTTCCTCTTTGCCTTGACTTTCTCTGTCATCCTGGCTTGCGCGTTCTCCGTCAGCGTGCTTACCTGTGTACGCACGAACGCGTGTGCCCATCGGGGGGGGGGACTGCTGTGCGCAGCGAGGGGTAGACAGTTGGAAACGTGGGTATTAGATTAAATGTAATGTGTTCTGAGAAGCGTAGAATACAGTCGGGGGCCGGCGGGGACGATGTCATATGGCTGGGCGGTTGGTGGTGAAGGTGGGCCGGTATTTCCTCCTTATCCTCTATGGACAGTCCACCTCTGGCTGCCACTTAGACAAAGTGGACCAACTACCAGGATCCTACTGACTTAGAGCTCCTGTAACTGGAAAAGTTTATCACTCTTAACACTTTCTGTCTCGTTATACGCAGAAAATAAATGGCAGAACACATAATATTCTGCTATCTTTATTATGTGGTCATAACAAGTGCACTAGATATACTAATACCTGCAAGAGTTCCAAAGGTCATCTGATTACTCAGCTGAGCCATGCCAGCAGATCTCGTCTCTGGAATGGATGTTTGCCAGAGTCTTGAGAAACCTTGTGCTTCAAATAGGTTAAGTATGTTTATGTTTCACTTCCCACAACTCAGAGCTGGAGAGCCTTTCCCTGCTGAAAGTGTGAAGAGCGCCGCCCAGATGGGCGCGTAATCGCAGCCGATACCCTTCTGCCAGCGCTTAAAGGCCTTTTAATTTCAGCTTTTCCATCGTGAAGGCTGTTTTTCAACATGCTGCAATCCAAGTCCAGCCCAAAACCCAAAATAGTACAAGGCAGCTTTTCGCTGTATCCTCCCTCTCCTCCTGCATCCCTGCTGCATCCCAGATTCAGTCTGAAGGTTTGATGCTGCTTGTCATTCATAATTTAACCAGAGATTGTGTTCTGGTTTCCCACTCCCACATCTTCCTCCCCACGGCTCATTACTCCCTTGAGATTTCCTTTTCTTGCTATTTCTCAGCTCTCTTACTGTCAGCTCCCAGTTTTGGTGCATGGCACTAGGATGGTTGACTGATTTGACCAATATTTAATATTTTCCTGTCATGGAAAACTTTTTGGGTGTACCTACATTTTATCTGTCTCCTAGTTACAGGTTTTCTGCTGTCAGCTTCCCATTCTTGCATGACACATATACCAATCACAGGGTCAGATTGGCAACTTGAAATCCTTGGTCCTTTTCTGAGCCCTCGCTGACAGATATAGAAAAAAAGCAGACTCTCATTTCCTGCAGATAACCGTCAATTTTGTCTATATTGACAACTGCATTTTGTATTTAAATGACCAGCAAGCACACACATATACATCCCAAACATCCGTTCAAC